GAGGCCAGATTGAATTGAGTCCATGATTACAAAATATATACTAATTTTAAAATACAGCTTGGCATCATCTTGACTTGGGTGTCAAGATGATGCCGAGCATCGTCTTGATATGTGACGAGCATCATCTTGATAATGACGATAACTTAAAAACTCACATGAAACACCAACATTTCTTGTAACAAAATTTGAGTTAAAATCTTATCAAATTGATCACGCAACCTTTGAATATCATTACATAGACTTTCAATGTTATCCTTTTCACCATCAAGAGCAGCATGGCGTGCCTCGATGATTAGATTTGTCCAATGAATCATTTTGAGTAGCTTCATCCAGATAGACGACATCAAAATGCAATCAAACTTGGAAATAAACTTTTGAATAGCATTGAGTTTCATTTTAGCCTGGGGTGTTAAATGTGGCACCCCAAGTTCATTTTAAAGCACTTCTTACTGAATTCAAATGTTGTGTAACTGGTTTAACTCCATCATTTCATGCTGACCATCTTGTTTTGGACATTCTATGCAACATTCTATGCAACGAAACAGGATGATGTTGTTTTAGAATTTCCCATCTTTGAGGACTACTACTGAATAAATTGTACATTTGCTAAATTTTTCTGAAATACGTTACTGCCTCTTAGCATGATTCTGTGCAATCGACATCAACTAAATTTAATGTGTGATTCCCGCAGCTAGAAAACATACAGTTTGGAATTTGTTTTATCAAAACCGCTTGCACCCCGTTGTACTTTCCAGCCATATTAGTTTTCAGTATTTCTAGTTTTCGAGCAGCATTTTCGTTTCCAGTTTTTTTTGAGAAATTTTCAAATAAAATAAATCTTTCTTCAACTGAAAAGTTTGAGTTATCTAAAATTTTAACATAACGAATAACATGAGTAGTTTGCTCCTTGTATGAGCAATCTGGAGTAGCATTAACTATTATTGAAAAATATTTTGCTTTCACAACTTCATTGGGGATTGCTGTTTGAACATGTGAACTACAAATATCAATAAACTCGTTCTGAATTCGTGTCGAAAGATAATTTTCAGTTTCAGTCTTAAGTTCAGATAAAATTAAAATATCCACTGAAGTTTCACATAATGCTGCTCTACTTGCAGATTTCCATACAACATAATTTTCTTTATGGTAAATTAAACTTATGTGCTTTTTGTTCAAAAGAAAGTAAGGTGCACAATCCAAAGATTGTTTTTAATACTTCAGCACAATCAGTCTCTTTTGCATGTTTCTCCATTTGCAAGAGTTTTGTTTAATAAACAATAAGGAAATGCCATGATGATTAGAGTCTTGAACAATATTATTTGGAATTTAAAAAAGTAATCTTAAGAAAAGATTTCACATGACTAAAATTATTCTTGTTGATAATCCCAATTTCAATAAAACTAACCGGATGAGTCTGGTCTGTTGTCTCTGGTTTGATATCTCGAATTTTATTTGCATTTGCATCTTCCTGTACTGAGATTTTGGGTTCAACCCGTTCCTGGTTTACAATATTTAATTTTCTTGCTGAATGTTGTTTCGAAATTGAGTCTCCTGCAATTAGAGCAACTTCATTTTCAATGTTAGCACAGTCACACACACTCTGAGATTGGTTGGCTGGTTCAATTTGAACTGTATTTATAATTTTTTCAAAAACGAATATATTTTCTTCGAGTTAGCGCATGCTTCTTCGGCCATTTCTTTCCTCCGTCGCCTTTTACTTGCACCACTATCAAGTTTTCTCTTCATTTTATTGGTATCTGAAAATAATATTGAAATTTTAAAATATAATAAATTTACGCATCAATCAAACTTATACAAATTTATATATTGAATTATGTTTAAAAAATTAAAAATTATTTACCAGAACAAAAAAATATTACTCTTTTTAAAGTTACGTACAAAACATAACGTACAAAGACGCAATATATCAATTTATACAAAATGATAAGAAACAGTTCAAAGCAAATTGATGAAGCACAACTAAAAAAGAAGAGAAAAACTGAAGCTACTAAAAAGCAGAATACTAAGTCATACTCAAAAACTCGTACGAAATAAAAATAATCGACTTGTATCAATTTGATCAAGCGCGCCGGACGCAGGGTTAGTTGCATCATTACATGGCGTAATCTTTATCAGATTTGGAAATTTGTAATTATGAAAAAGAAATTAATTTATTAACTTAAGTTAACTTGAAGTTAAACTATTTAGAGTAATTAGAAACTTAGAATTATTATTTTGACTTTTATTTTGGTGTTTAAAAAATGTGTTTTGAAAATGTGAAATCCCAATAAAATCGGAGGCCCAGGTCATATGACGCATGTGGCTCCCCCTCTGATAGGGCCTATATATATATATACAGACTACATATATACACATATATTGTTTTTGTTTAACGTTATTAACTATAAAGAATCGCTAGCTATGACAAAGTAGAGTTGATAAATTATACGTGATTATGTATAATACATATAAATATATAATTTTTCTTTGCTTTAAATATAAAAGGTTTACACAAAAACCTATATATATATACATATATATATATATATATATATATATATATATATATATATATATATATATATATATATATATATATATATATATATATATATATGTATGAATATATATATATATATATATATATATATATATATATATATATATATATATATATATATATATATATATATATATATATATATATATATATATATATGTATATAGTGGTGTAAGAAGGTTTTAAAATGTTTGAAATAACCAACTTTTAAACAAAAAGAATATTCCAAATTTTTTTACGTTCATATGTATGACGAAAAGATTCTTTACAAAAAAAATTTTGGTGAAAGGAGAATGGGAACAAGAAATTCTAAAACCTTAGCCCCCTTGCCCCAAATATGAGAGCAACAAGATGATGAAATATTTTTTTGACTATTTTCAAATAGACTTATTTCATCGATGAGATTTAAATTTCATAGTAAAATTCAAAAATTGCTCAAAAATTGCTTAAAAATTATGATCATATAACGTTTAATTCCCCCTCATTTTGAGGCCCCTGTTTTAAATGATCATAATTTTTGAAAACTACATTTTACTATGAATTTTAAAATTTCTCGATGAATAAAAATCTAGTTAAAAATAGTATAAAATTATTTTATAAACTTGTTGCTCTCACGTTTGGGGCGGGTGGGCTATATATATATATATATATATATATATATATATATATATATATATATATATATATATATATATATATATATATATATATATATATATATATATATATATATATATATATATATATATATATATATATATATATATATATATATATATATATATATATATATATATATGGGGAAGTCAATCAGTAAGTATTATCAAGACAGTTTATCGAAGTGAGTTTTATCAAAGTGTTTTATCAAAAAACATCAATACAAGAAGTGAAATACAACAAGTATTTCATTACATCAATACAGTCCACATCCAACCAAGACGTTGTGTTCCCCAGAGGATTATTGTATCATCGCAAGGTAAATGTAACACGGTAAGCCTTGAGAAGCGTGATTATTTACTTTTATTATTTTTATGACTTCAAGTACAAAAATGGCTCCCGACAGTTTTGGATTGGAACTAAGAAAGAAAAATATTGGCGATTACGTAACTGGAATGTCAAAGAGCTGCCTGTATCGGACTGAACAATCAGACGACGTGCTGTTGAAGCCGAATTGTTTTCTTGACGCCCTGCAAAGAAATCGCTGATTTCACTAAAGAACCAGAAGAAAAGACTCCTGTTTACTACATCTCATATTGACTGTAATGTGCAGAAATGGCGAACTGTCCTGTTCAGTGATAAATCGAAGTTCAACATCATTGGGAGCAATGGCATTTGCCGTTTACGTCGACCGGCCGGAAAACGCATTAATTTACGTTATTGCCATAAGACCGCGAAGCATGGTGGAGGCAATGTAATGGTCTGGAGGTGTTTTTCTGCTAACGGTCTAGATCCAATACATCAAAACGATGGAATAATGGACCGTTTCATGTATTAAAATTTCCTGAAAGATGTTATGTTACCTCATGCTAAATGGAATACGCCAATAAAATGGATTTTTCAGCAAGACAACGATCCGAAACACACTGCAAAAGTAGTCAAGCAGTGGTTTCAAGACAACCATCTACCAATGATGGATTGGCCACCTCAATCTCCGGATCTCAACCCTATCGAGAACCTGTGGGAGATCGCAACCGCAGAATTAATCGTGAAGGTGTTCGTAATAAGGATCAACTGTTTGAACAAATCCAAAAGGCCTGGGCAGCGATTCCACAAAGTTTCATTGATCACCTAATCGAATCTATGCCTCGAAGATGCAAGGCTGTGATCAACAACAAAGTATTCGCCACGAAATATTGATAGCGAAATACAGCTTGGTCAACATTTTGTGGAGTTTTGTCACTTGTTTTGTCAACACTTGTTTTGTCCAAAAGGAAATCAACTTTTTTTAATGCTTTTGATTAATTTATTAATTTTCGTATACAAATAATGAACTTTGTGATGAATAAAACTTGAAGAACGTTGTCTCTAAACAGTTAGATAGTTATTTCTCTAAATTGAAAAAATGCAGTACTTTTATATAAAGAAACTAAATTAGCATTATTTGGTTGCACTTGTTTTGTCCAATACTGTATATGCATTCTTAAAATTTATTTTTAGTCAAGAAGGAACTATAAAAGATTTCTTTTTAAATATCGTTCGATATATTTTTAATTAACTTTATGTTAATTTTATGTAATAAACTTATGTTGACAAATGCTAAATTTTTTTGAGCCTTTCATAAACTTTAAAATTCCGTAATTTAAAGTATAAAATTAGTTAAACATAATTAGGAAAAAATAAGTTGTTTAAACCCCCTTATTTCACTCACATTGAGAATTCAGCAATAGAATTTAAAAAAAGTTAAACATTAACCGTGTTGCAAACAAACAGTTGAATCAGCCCATGCTGAACGTGGGTTTTAATGTCTAGAGTTTAAACTTAATATTTTAAAATTATTTTTATAATATCGATGCAATTTTGTTCTTTAATCATGTTAGTTTTTAGTTTATTTTCGGATGAAATTTAAAGCTAAAATGATGCATCGAGGTAGTGTCAAACAAAAATCTTCGGCAAATGAAGACAAGCACGTAGAAGCGTGCAATACCGAAGGAGATAGAGACGTTTTTACAAACAGTTCAGAAAAAACTTACGAAAAAGAAAAACATTTTGAATCTTGCCAAAACGTAGTTAATGAAAATTTGCCATTAGATAGAAGGAAATTTTCAAAAAGCTCCGTTCCCAATCCCGAAAATAATTATAACTTTGAGACTGTTGAAAATATTAATAATGACAAAAACATTTCATCACATACAAAATATGCTTCCGATCACAATCACATCAATCATTCTCTAACTTCCCTTAAAAGTTGCAACACTACGGAAAGCGACATATTGCATTTAAAAGGAAAAACAAACACTGCTAGAGTAAAATTACAGACAAGTTTTAATACAACAACAAGTTTACCTTTTGAACAATCAATCGAAGAGCAAGACCTTCGAACCCAAGTGGGGCAATGTGGTTGTATGTCGAAAAGATATGTTCTGGCAATATTAAGTTTCTTTGGATTTTTTAATGTTTATTGTTTACGTGTAGATCTTAGCGTAGCGCTGGTTGCTATGACTAACAACCATACTAGAGTGATGTTTAATGGGACAGAATACTTGGTATGAAGAAGTTTTTGAAAAAGTTATTTGAGAAAGTTATTTAAAAGAGTGCTTGATGCACTTATCTTGATGAAAGTTTGTTTATTTTTTTTTCAAACAAACATATATACATATCATAAAATATTTCAATATATATATTAGGTTATTTCTCTCAGGTAGCACCTGAATTCAATTGGAGTACTCAACTTCAAGGTAACTATAATAAATTTAAAAAAAGGGGTAGGGAAGTTTATAAAAATGGGGAAGTTCGATACTAAAACTTAATTAGAATTATTTTTTTCTCTGCTAAAAAGATTTTATTTACTCCTTTTGCAATGTTATTTTTTTTTGAACAGAAATTTTTTTTTTTTAATAACAGAAGATGTATTTTATGTCTTTTATTATAGGTCACATATTGTCAGCGTTTTATTATGGTTATTTGTTAACGCAGATACCTGGAGGTTATATAGCAGCAAGATTTGGTGGTAAAAACTTGTTTGGTATAGCTATTTTATTTAGTGCAGTTTTGACATTAATGACTCCAATGGCTTCTAGATCTCATTGGATGTGGTTATTTTTACTACGTTTGATAGAGGGTTTATGTGAGGTAATTTTGTAATATATATGTATATAAATATAATTATATCTATATATCTATATCTATATCTATATATATATATATAATAATAACAATAATAATAATAAAAAAATATATAACAATATTATAAAATACAATAACTTTAACATTTACCGTTCAATAAATTAAAGTTTTTTTTAAAATTAGTTTATCGTTGTAACCAGTTTATTAAAAATATAGAAAGAATAAATACAAAGCCATCGCTTTGGTTTATTGGGATGAAACAAATTTTAATAAACTAAACAACATTTTAAATGCTAAAACGTTAAACAAATAAATCATCTTCCTTTTATTTAGGGATGCATTTATCCGGCTATGTACGCTCTTTGGAGTAGGTGGGCGCCACCAATGGAAAGAGCGAAGCTTGTTACTATACCCCATTCAGGTATCCGCCAATTAAAACTCTAACATGATTATGCATCTTTTTTTAATTAAAATTTTTTATTTATTAAAAATTTTTTTTTATTACTTATACTTTATTACTTTTGTTGTTTTTGTTATTATTATTATTATTATTGTTATTATTTTTATTATCATTATTTCATTGTTTTTTCATTTATTAGGTTCTTATGCTGGATCAGTTGCTGGTACTCTAATTGCTGGATATTTATGCGAATTATGCGGTTGGGCGTGGGTATTTTATTTGTTTGGTAAATTTTATTCAAATTTTATTCGTGTTCGTATACTCTGTTATTATTAAATTCAAATAAGTATAATGTAGGGCTGTACCAAACATACAAAGATTAGAGTGGAGTGATAGTCAAATTTTACTGTGAAAAATCATAGTCTTAGTGTTGCTAAAGACCACTTTTTTTCACCAAATTGTACATCTATATTGCCTAAATAATATTTTTCTAACGCTAACGGAAACGAAATGTATTTAATCCTGATTTTAATACTTCAAAAATGAAATTTAAATTATATGAAACGTCAAATACTAGAGTGAAGGCTTTTAGCATTTTCCGCGTACTCTTCCTTTTTATAATATTTTTATTTTTATTTCTTTGTGCATTTAAATATTACTATTTAATATTAAATTTTTCAAGTAAATTATGTCATTACATTTAATTTTAATAACATCAAAGTATGAAAATTTGCTGTCCTATTGTTTTGAATTTTTTATTTAAGAAGCCGACTATGATTCCCTTAGTGATTTTTAGTTAGTGGAACCCAAATCTCTTGATTGATGTATGTACACTTACTGAATGTGTCTTTTTAAACTCAGGTGGTGCATTTAAAAATTTAAAAGAACTAAAAAATACAAATGTTTTTAAAATTCTTATATAAACTAACAAACTGAATTATACCATGAAAATATAAAATACATCTACAAATAATTTAAATTTATACGGTTTTAACTATTTCACTTAATTTATGAAAACTATTCTTGCTTCTCAAATTTAGACGTGGTATATACTTTTAATTTGGTCATTTTAATATTGATTTTTTTTATAATTTTAGTAAAAAGTGGCGGAAAAACGCGGTTCTTTAGTTTCTTTCCTCCACTTTCTCCCACTAGTGTCATTGGATTCGAAAGTTCTTTAATTTTAATTTTAATTTTTAGGTTTACTTGCACTTATGTGGGTGGCGGTGTGGATGATTATGATAAGCGATTCACCTGAAGAAGACAACCACATTTCGACTGAAGAAAAAAACATGATATTAAAAAGTTTAGAAGAAGATCAAACTTCACATTTAGTAATTATTCCTTTAATTTTTAACTTTATGAAAACTATTCCAATTTTTTAAAGCGAAAATCCAATACAAACTTTTTTAATATTACAAACAAGTGTTTCAGAAGCATTATGTTGCTACTTTTATTTTTAATTTACATCAATTGAATTTCTAAAACTCTATGAATTTTTACAACAACTTTTTAATCATCTTAGAGAAAAGTTATATACCAAACGCATTGCTTCATTGTATTGTTCCCTTTTCTCAACTTATTTAAATTTTTTTCCTATTAATTTTTATCTCATTTTCGTCTTGATTATTTATAAATTCAAAATTTACCTCGTTTTTTTTTACTTCAGACAACTGCGCAGTTTATATTAATGAAAAGAGTACGTTTGTTATTTAGAACAAACCTGAACTTTTTTTTCGAGTTTTAAACGGTTTTAAATGGTCACACTTTATTGCTGTCTTGACAATTGTCAAGACTACAATAAAGTGTGACCATTCGGCAAATTTGGCATTCGGCAAATTTTATATGCCAACGTTTTTAAATAATTATTTATAATAGTTAATTATAACTATCTCATTAGTAAAATCAACTGATTAATAAGATTAGTTTTACTAATCTTATTAATCAGTTGAAAGCATTATTATCAAGATATTTAAAAAAGTATTTAATTTTTTTTTTTTTTAATATTTAAATTGAATTTAATTTTTTACAGTTAAAAGGTTCACTACCTTGGCAAAAAATAATCACATCGATGCCATTTTTAGCAATTCTTGTGGCGCATACATGTGAAGGATGGGGCTTTGGAACTATGCAAACTGGTCTTCCTAAATTTTTAAGCGAAGCTATGAACTTTCGAATTTCAAAGGTATGTTATCTCTCTTAATTAAAAGAACTCTTTAGTTTAATTCTGCCTAAACCGTTAAAACAGATAAACTTAAATTAGTTAAACCAAACTTAAATTAAATAAAAAAATATAAAACTTATAAATTATTCAATTAATGTATGATGATGATATATAATAATTGAGGATCACAAAATGCTTGTTTTTTTGCCTAATCGAACTGACATTCTTGTTCCTTGAAATCTAAAATGCATCAAATGATATTTTAATTCAGATTTGGATTAAAAAATCTTTTCATCTTTTTAGACTGGAGAATATACAGCAACATTATATTTAGTCATGGGAATAAACGTATTTTTATCAGGCCAGTTAGCCGATTTCATACGTCAACGCTGTTATCTTTCGGTGACTACTACTCGAAAAAGTTTTACTGTTATAGGTATTTAATTTCTCTTTTAAACTACTCTACCTAAAGTGTATATATATATATATATATATATATATATATATATATATATATATATATATATATATATATATATATATATATATATATATATATATATATATATATATTAGACCCGTAGCAACCGGGGGCAGCAGGGACATTAATATAATTTTTTTAATAAATAATTTTGAAAAAATTAACTGAAAAAATTACTTAAAAAAAAAGAAAAGGTTCTTTAAACTATTTCGGGGCCCCTTAATCCAGCATTGCCCCCCCCCCCTCCACGATATATTTTTTATTCCTGCGGGCCTATATATATATATATATATATATATATATATATATATATATATATATATATATATATATATATATATATATATATATATATATATATATATATATATATATATATATATATATATATATATATATATATATATATATATATATATATATATATATATATATATATAGATATAGATATATATATATATATATATATATATATATATATATATATATATATATATATATATATATATATATATATATATATATATATATATATATATATATATATATATGTATATATATATATATATATATATATATATATATATATATATATATTATATATATATATATATATATATATATATATATATATATATATATATATATATATATATATATATATACTGTAATAGGTATTTTAACTTCTCTTTTAAATTTCTTTATGTAAAGTATATTATAAATATATAAATATATATATATATATATATATATATATATACTGTAATAGGTATTTTAACTTCTCTTTTAAATTTCTTTATGTAAAGTATATTATAAATATATAAATATATATATATATATATATATATATATATATATACATATATATATATCTTTTAAACTCTCTTCTGATTAGGTTTCTTGGCTAATGCTGTAGCATTCATAATCTCAATGTACATGTTTAGTCCGGAAGGAGCTGTTATTGTAATTATTGTTGGCGCTGGTATAGAGACACTGGCTTGGGCTGGTTTTGGAATAAACCACTTAGATATAGCTCCAAGATATGCCAGTGTGTTGTTTGGTATAACTAACACTTGTGCAACAGTTCCGAATATTTTAAGTCCAATTTTAGTGGGTGTACTTACAGATTTAGGCGAGGCAGGATCAGGAGTAAGTTTTCAATATAATTTTTACTATTTAACAGGTGGTATAATAAAGATAACGACTTTGCCAAAAAAAGAAAACTATTTTTACTAAATTTTTACCAATAATTCATGTGTTAGAAGTAATTGCAACTAGATGCAGATATTAGTTGTCATCAATAGATGAACAGAAAACTTGCTTTTGTATTCAATTTACTAAAAAGCACATTGTTTTTACTAAATTAAATTTTAAGCAGGAGCTAGAGCTCATCATACTCAACATTTAAAAACCTAAAAGGTCAGTAGAACCAACATTTTCTTTTTCACGCTACTTAATAGTTTATTTATATGAGTTATCCAATTTAAGAACTTAATAAGCATCAAGAAAACTTTGTCTAACTATTTAGTTAGAAACCTACCTGATGTAGGGTATATATATATATATATATATATATATATATATATATATATATATATATATATATATTTATATATATATATATATATATATATATATATATATATATATATATATATATATATATATATATATATATATATATGTATATGTATGTATATGTATGTATATGTATATATATATATATATATATATATATATATATATATATATATTATATATATATATATATATATATATATATATATATATATATATGAGTATATATTAGAAGATATATAAGTACTTGGCAAAATTCAAAAGCAGAGTTTCAACGGATCTATATAGATATTTTAAGCTAGCCACTATATCACGTGTTAGAAAGTTATTAGGTGGCCACTTATAGCGCTTTTCACTAAAGGTCTACTAAGTAACCGATGTGCAAAACCCTAATAAATCAGTCAAAGTCCTATATAAATCCACTGTAAATTCAGGACAAAAATGTTTGCTAGAAATATATTAGTATATATTAAGAGTATTTATTAGGACTTATTAGGAGATATAATTATGTATAAAAAATATATATATATATATTATTAGAATTTTATGTAAACAACTAGCATCAAAAAAATCTGATTTAACTTTATAGTTTTTTTCTCCAAATACAGTGTCACATATCATTAATGGTCTCAGATTAATATATGGTCTTGTAATATTATACGGCCTTAGATAGTTAGAGGCCCTCGGCAAAGTGTTGACTTGGTGGCTCAAATAAAAAATTAAAAACTTTTAACCAAGGTGCAAAAATGATAAAAATGCGCGAGAGGATTTGCTCGGGGAGGCTCCTCTCCATTCAGCATCCTCTGCTTTGGTGAAGGCAAAAAATTCTAGAAATTAAACCCAAAAATTATAAATTTAATTGTGTTTCTTAACACATTTCATGTACAATCTTTTTGACAATCGCACACTTGCTTCATTCTTTTTATTTTACTTTTATTATTTTATTTATTATGAATTTTGACAATAAAAATAAAAAAAAGTTAAAAAATTTAAACAATACAATTATTTAAATACATGGCTGGGGCAAGAAGAAGACAAATGAATCTTAACGCAAAGCCCCACAAAATAAAAAATTTCAATAATAAAATTACAAAAACAACGTAACTTCAGTAAATTGCAAAACGTATATTACGCTATATTACAGTAAAATATATCCAAAAGTATATAAACAATTACTAAAAAAAAAACGGAAAGTTTTTAATTTGTTTTGTCAGTCTAGTTGCTTCAGCCTTTGGTTTTGAATTATTGTAAACTGTTGCTATTTGATAACGAACAGCTTTCACACTATTAATTATACATTTCCACAATGTATCAAAACTTTATTGTCAGATTTTGTACATAAGTTTTAAAAATCTGCCATTGCTGTGAAGCGTCAAACAAACGTTAAATTTGATGCAAAGATCTCAAAAGTGTCATTGCAATGACTGAAGATTTCGTCATGTCTACAAGAATTAGATTGAGACTGTAACATTCACATGGCACATAAAGTGATTTTGGTTTGAGCTTAAGTATATGTTTTTGTATACCACTTTTACGATTGCATCCTTTTATGTTTGTTCCGTTATCATATCCTTGGTCTCTGCAGATCAGCAAATTTAAATTTAGATCTTCAAACTTTAGTAAGTATGCTTCTGCAAACCTGAACCAGTACTGTCATTTACAGGCATTAATTTGTCATTGATTTCTACTGATCTACTTCCAATGTTGCATATTCACAAAATTATTTTCTCATTTGTCCTTGGTGACTCAAAGTTAGAAATAAAATTTCTAACTTTAAACCTTATTTATAGAATTTTGTAAGGCAAAGTCATTGATTAGATTAATTGCCTAACTTTAAATTGTTTTTCCCAAGTAATGATCATGAATTTCCTTTTTTCATATAATTGATAAATGATCTTCTGGGCATGAATTAAAATTTCATAACAATTCGAACAATCCCAAAGCGTTTCCGTAGCTCGGTTAAAACAATCGGTCCATAATAACAATAAGAGCCTAATTCCGTTCTGCAATATACAATTGAAACGGTTCTTTTTAAAACATTATTCCAGTGATATCTTTTTTTGGAATAGTTTTTGTGTTTCCTTGTAAATTGTCTCTTGTTCCTTTAACTAACTTTCCAGCGAAAACAAAGCACCGACAGCACAAAAATGCTTCATGGATGATTCATGATCAGCTAAAATACTAGACATATTTTTCCAATTGCTGTTCCTTCGATTTTGATCTTGATTTTCAGATCTAAGAGCAAAAAACAATTTCAGCATTTTTAACAATTTTTATTGTTAAAAAAAAAAATAGACGACAATCTGAGCATTCACTAATTTGCAACTTCCTAAAAAAAAACCCACAGAGAAATGAATCTTCAGAACTCTAATCTTGCTTCTCTTTTCTCATTTCCTTTTTCGACCAAATTCTTTATCGCAAATTAAAGATGACCATAAAGTTGTTTCTTTGCAAACAAGTAAATATTTTGGCTCTCTTTTGCATCCCTTAAACCTTTATCATCCCTTGAACCTTTATCATCCATGCCCATAATTTCTTTCTGTAAATTGACCAATTAATTGACTCTTTGCCATCTGACTACTTCGTCTAAATGTTGACGATTGGGAAAACAATTATGTATTCTCTTTATTCTGAGTATCTAAAGTTGATGTTGTCAAATGTGGTGACGGTAACGTAGTAATGTAGTGGCGGTTCATAAATAACGAAATTTATTAAAGCATCTCTTTGTGTTGCATTAAAGCGATTTTTTTTTTTTTTTTTTTGCGTTTTAATACACCATTTTTACCAAAAGAGTTTTTTACACGACTTTCACAAAACTATTTTTAAACAAGGATTAAATCCAAATTTTATTAAATTGATTTTATTTTTTATTTTAGGTTCTTGTTATATTTATATTAAAAAATAGATAAATTTCAATTTTTATTTACCATAAACTTCTCAGGTTTACCAAAAATAAAAAATTAAGTAAACTTTATGATACTTTTCTTGATGACCCTTTGAGGTGAGTTTTTATAATCTCTTTCGATTGTCGCTATCAAATGCTTATCCGCGGTGTGGAACTTCCTATCAAATGCTTATCCGCGGTGCTCTGTGACAAGACCATAAGGTCTTTTTGGGGCACCTAAATAAAATTGAAAAAAAACTCGTTCGGTATATTGTTTATATAAACAGTAAACAAAAATAGACTCAAAATAGCACATTGCGAAACACCACTTAAGCCCAAATTCGAAAACTCGCCATTACATTCTCTTTGCATTTTATTACACACAAAATTTTTATACCATCATTCATTATTTAAATACCAGAACTATTTAGTTTAAGTCAAAACTTTTTAAATTTAAAACTTTGAGGTATTTAAAAAAATAATATCTACTAATAATTTTTTTACAAACTGCCTGTATTATTAAACCTTTAAATTCTAGTAAAATGCTGTTCCTAGTCAAATATTTTTTTGACTAGGAACGGAAAAACGATCATGTCGATTATTTTGCGTATATGCAAAATGATCATTCATTGAACAGGACGTTTTCTAGACGTTTTTTAGGCTGATAAAATCAGCTTTTAATACCATAACATTAATTTTTATACTTAAAAAACACGTCTCATCATTGGACGTTGATTAAAACATTCAAATTTATATTTTAGTTTAAGTAGGGTAGAGTGGGGCTAGTTAAGCATATTTGCAAATTGGGCATTTAAAATATCTCAAAAACTACGCATCACATGACAAAAAGTTTAATGGATGAAAGTTAAGGAATTATAATGTTAACACTATGCATAACAAAAGATTGCTGGAAAGCAGTTGAGTAAGATACACGGGCACTTTATCTACTTTAAAACAAAAAAGTAAAAAATATTTTTTTACTTTTTTAATGTTGGATGCTTAAAAAATTTTTTTATCTACCATCACATAAGTGTTGATATTTTACCAATTTATCGGACGTTGATTAAAACTAGCCGTTTTTTCCTAAGACTTATTGTTTTCTTTAAAACGTAACTAATGTGTCACCTTTTCTAGTAAAGGTAAGTTGAGTATACTCAACTTACCCTTATGTTCTTTCTTTCTTCTTTGTGTTCAAAAGTTCAGTTTTATCTTCTTTTTTTTCTAAGCTATAGCTTAGAAAAGTAATTTAGCGGTACATTATTTATATATATTTTTAAAATCAATAATTTTTAATTTTAAGGCTTTTTTTTTTAAGGCTTCAAAGTTCAAGACAGTAGCATAAAATAATATTTTGATACTTTATTACACTTTCTTATTTTTTTTCTCTTACTTACGTAATGAAAGTGTATAAAATAAAAAGTTTTTAAACTATACACACGCTTACTGTTAGTAAAAGTTTTATTGACGATTCACTCAAGCTTCGTACCACGCATATTCATTTATTTGTTGATTTTTCAACTTATCCCACACTATTGTTTAACTTACCCCGCTGGAACAGGTTGAGCAGCTCCGCAATCTTTAGGCAATATTTTCACAAAAAAATCAAAAACTGTACATTTTTCTCAACAAACTTTTAGCAGGTTGATTTATCTATCAAATATTGAAAAAATTATGTAAATCCGGCGCACTGAAAATATTAAAAATAACTTTAGGAAAAATATTGCTTAACTAACCCCGTTCTACTCTAATATTTGAATTTTATTAATTTTCAATTTAAATTTTATTTTCTTCGAAACTAAGCTACATAGTTTGTATGTTTATTTTTTCCTGCTAATATATATATATATATATATATATATATGTATATATATATATATATATATATATATATATATATAAACATACAAACTATTAGTAGAAAATCACTTAGCAAAATTTTTTCTCATTTAACACTGTGTTTTATCAATAAAGACTCATCAGAAATGAATGATCAAATTGATAAAACTTCAATTTATACCAAAAATTAAATTACAGGAAGTCACATGTCTTAACTACTGCAATTTTTCACACATTTGTGTAATTTGCTGACACTATTGTAAAAAGAATTCTTAGAAATGATTACTTAAGCTTTTTTAAAAAATATTTTTTTTTCCAAGGGGAGTTAATGTAACTATTATTTGAGCTCACTTATTTTTATAGTTTTTTAGGAGAAACTTTTTTTCGTGCCTGCATTTAGAAATCAATTCCGATCAATTTTTTTGTTTAATAAACATTCTTGGTTTGTATGTGTAATTATTTCAAATTTTTCTTCTAGACATAGTATGCATTTTTTGGAAATATTGTTATATGCAGGCACTGTTTTAAGGATGGACCAATTCAGTGTAAAATCATCAATATTTTTATCTTTTAATTCCCATATATATTTTGACAGCATGGTGTCTTTTGAATACTTTTTATTTTTAAAAGATTGCTTATGATTGGCAAAACGTTTTTTCCATTCACCTTCTGTTATGCCAATATATTATTTATTAGGTACATTCTTAGAGGAGACAACACATTTATATACCATATTTTTTGATAAGCAACTTCCACTCATTGGACAATTGTTTTTTTGTTTACAATAACAATTTCCTGTAGTTTTTTCATTTTGGATTTCTTTTTTGTTTAACAAAGCATTGATGTGACCTTTTATAATTCTTTCCATAATTTTTGTCTAACTGTAGCTAACTTTAATAGTATTTCGATTAAAAATTTTATTTAATTTATTAGAGGGCGAGAAATGCTTATCGATCAATTTTAAAAACAATTTTCCTATGTTTGTGGAAACATTTTTGCTATATGGGGGGTTGAACCAAATTACATTTCTAGTTCTATTTCGTTTTTTTGTATTCTTTTTTTCAGGGTCAAATTTTAATTAAAAGTTTTCAAAACCACTTTTTTTAAGGGCATCTTCAAATATCTGTTTGGAGGAATTGAATACATTTTCATAAGAGGAGTTTTAGTTAAGCCTGTTATTAATTGAAATCGGGATTTGTTTTAGAATTTGGGGTGGGTGATTTGAGTTAATATTAATATACAATAATTCATCGTTTGGTTTTTTGAAAGGCTTATATGTATTTTCCGAGAGGTTAAATGTGACATCAAGAAAGTTCACAATTTTTAAACTTATGTTTATTTCAATTTGAAAGCCAATATTTTTAAAAATTTTTATAATATCTTTTCTAATTTTATCAAGCTGTGGACCAGATTTTTTACGCATTACTATTAAACCATCGTTGCGATAAAGGCCTAAATCATTTATATTGATTGTTTTACTTAATAAATCTAAAATATATAATCCAACAAGTTCACAAATTTCTGCTCCATCATAACTGCCCATTGTTACATCAAACCAGTTATGTATGTTTTTCTTTTTTCAAGTTTTCTTATTATTATATATATATATATATATATATATATATATATATATATATATATATATATATATATATACATAAAGATATATATATATGTATATATATATATATATATATATATATATATATATATATATATATATATATATATATATATATGTATATATATATATATATATATATATAATATATATATATATATATATATATATATATATATATATATATATATATATATAAAGAGAGAGAGAGAGAGACGCATGCTTGTTTCCATCATGGTCTAGAATGCAACATTTTGTAATATATTTTATATTTTGTAATATAGTAGGGCATGTTTACATATAAAGTCACTTTTTATATTCATTAGGGGCGACAACATTGGGATCGTGTGTTTTATATCTCAGCGGCTATGTTTTTATTTGGAGCCTTGTTTTATGGTTTTTTTGCTTCAGGAGAAAGACAATCGTGGGCTGCAGATAAAAGCGACGAAAGCTTAGAAGAAGAAGTTATAAAAGAAGTTATAGATCAAACAGAGCAGAATGAAAATACAACACAAACTAAATCAAAATAGGAAATCAGATATTTTTTAATACATAATAAAAAAAAGCAGCAAAAAACACGACAACAACAAAAAATGTTTACTTTCAAAGTTTAAAATGAAACGACTCCTTAAAAATTATTATTAGCCATAACTTGGCTCCTTAGTATTTTATATTTATTAAACCTAGTTTTTTATACAGTTATTTGAATACAACGTATCTACTTTTAAAATTGTGTTTAATGAGGATATCATCCTTAATAGACAGAGTTTTTAAATTAAAATTTTGTATAGAATGCTTTTATTATCCTCATACAAATAAGAATTTTTTTAATGAAAGATTGCATCTTATTTTTTTTTTATTAATATAATCACACTCATAAATAAATAAAGTTGATGTCGAAAAGAGGTCAAACTGAAATAGTGTTGTTACATTTCTTGTAGTAAAGAGAAGATTAAATTAAATGTGGTTTTCTGTAAGATTCTCCAGTTCTTTAATTACATCCTTTCCTGCTTTTTAACTGCATTTTTTCTTGGTCTTTAACTACACCCTCTTCCACATTTTAACCCCACCTTTTCCCGTTCATTAACCACATTTTTTTTCACTCTTTAGCTAATCTTGAAAACTCTTAGTCAAGATCGTATGTTAAATTTTCCAAAAAAGCTTTCTCAAGTTTACATAACAATCATCTATGTAAAATAAATGCTAAAATTCTCAATTCTTTTTTCTTATAGCTTTTCCAATCATCTTATTCTCTTTTGAGAGATTTCTTGATTTCTAGCCTCAGGTTTATATAAATTAGAATCATCGTGTAAATATAGTTGTAAATAAATTTTTGGTTGATCAATTAACAAGATAATAGGAGGTGATTTAATTCAGCATTATAAAATGTTTCATAAATTGGATAAAGTATTTGGTATCAAAAACCTTTAAGAACAAATTTGATAAACTTTTGTAAGATATGGCTAAAAATTGTAATCATCATTGGCTCTTAATAGTTTCAACATGTCATTAAATTTCATGGAACATTAATAAATAAATAAGTATGCTATAGAGACATTTAAAATCCCAGACACAATCTTACACAATCTATTTCCAACTTAACATCGATTTCATTTAGTACTAGGTTCTTGTGGTTCATAACCATAATTATTAGCTTCATTTTACCTCAGAAATCTATTGTTTATTATGTTAAAAGAAATTAATGGAAAATCTTTGTTTTGTTAAATAAAAAAAAATTAATCTAAATGCACTTACTCCACGTTATCGAAAGCAAAAGTAAAAATTGAAAAAAAAATTACCGATGATTTTTCTGTAACTCTTGAAGTTATTCTTGTCATTCTTCTTAGAATTTAATTTGATATCGGAAATATGTAGAAAAATGGGGAAAATGGTCAAAATGTGACGCTGAGTTTATAAAGTATTATATATTATTTTGATAGCCCCTTTTAATGTGAGTTAAAACCGTTTTTATTGAAGTAGAATTTTAAACCACAGTATGCTTTCGCCGTTATACTTAGAATTAAATGTTACCGGAAACATATATAATACAGATTAAAAATCGACCTTTTAGGTTAAATATACATTAAAAAAATTGATTTATTTCCCTAATCAGAAAAAATTTGTTTTTTGATTTTACATTGTATTTTATGTCATTCTAATAGCATTTTTTATTTTGACATTCTGATAGCAATTTTTGGAGCTTATAGGGTTGGAAATAATAAATCTTTTACCTATTAAGCCAATGTCAAGTTACAAATATTGATTATATTTTGAGCGTCCTTTTTGATTATATTCTAAAGAAAGAAAAATAAATAAACCTGTAACTTATAAATCAATTAAAATTTTTTTTTTAAAATTATGATCTTACCTTGCAAAATGTTCTGCTTCCTAAGTCTAGTCGAGGAACTTTTGATACTGCTTCACCATTTATCTCTTTAAGCAACTAAAAAAATATACCATACTGATAGGTATATACATATATACAGGGGCGCAAAGAGAGCGGGGGATCCGGGTCGGTTACCCCCAGGCATCACGTATATGGGGGCATCATCAGATGACAAAAAGAAATATCAGTATTCCAAATGAAAAATTTAAAACACCCAATAAAGAAATGAAAAATGTTTACTTTGATATTATATTTCGATTTTTGATTTTGTTTCGATTCAATCTGATTAAACCGATTACTGATTCCTAGCACCATTTTTACGGTAGATGACTCTCTATTTAGAGACCGCGTGTTTTTTCTTTCCTTCAAAAAACAGTTTTTACGTTCTGTGATATGTCCTCTGAATGGCTCTTCAAACTATGCGAGAAAACTACAAACTACTTGTAACGTTGTCGTGAACAATAGCAAAAAGAATAGTTAAAACATTTTTTTAACTTTTTTAACTATTTTTTTAACTTTTATTTCCGTATATTTAATAAATTATTACAACTAATTATATAATTTTAAACTAGTCGTAGTTTCTCCTATCTATTTTTTAAACTAATTTAAGTTTAACGCTATGGATTTCATTCCATTCGTGCGAGAACTCCTCGCGCAGAATTAATCTCCAAGGAAATAATTTTGCAATTTTATTGATTGCCAAAAAGAGTTTTACAAATAATTGTCGAAAGAGAATTGTTTATGGTGCAATCGTAAATCGTTAATAATTAATTGAAATAAACATTACAAATTATTTTCCTAAGAGTATTTTTTATATCGAAATTTCTACAGCGATTATTACACTACATAAATAGAACTCTTTTATACAGTTTTGTGCTATAAGTATGAAATGAAAACATATCAGTCTACAACCAACTCATCAACCAAACGGAACCAGCCATCAGGCGCAGCAGGACGAAAAAAGAAGAGAGTAAAAAAAACTGCTCAAGAAAAAAACAAGCGGACTCATAATCATTTAAATGAAGATTAAGTGATGTATGCGGTAACCGACAGTGAAACTGACCTAATGGTTTAATCACATTAGCCCTAGTTGGTAGTTTCATGGAACACATCTTAGCTGGTTTATCCACCAAAAAGTGCTCCTTGGTGTGAGCACTTACTCTTCTTATCTTAATAGAATCCTTTTGCATTTTATAATTTCGGAATCTAAAAATACCTGTCCTAGGTCCTCATAGTTCAAAAACTGCATTAAATACATTCAAAAAATATTAGTTTAACATTATTATTAAAAACTAGCAAAAGGCAACCCGTAATACGGGTTTTGGTCGGTCTCTTACATAATTAATTTATAGTGGCTGTTTTCCGAAATTTAATCTTGCAAAACCTTAACTTATACCCTTTTAGAAAATCGCGTTCAGCTTGACCCGACCCGGGTCTTGTTAAGTCTGTTCAACACAGACCATTTCTATATTATTTGTTTGGCCTCTTTATTTCATCAAATTTTTAGTCAACGGTAATTTGCCACCATTTACTAAAAATTCCTTTTGTAACTCGAAATTTAATTTTCCTAAATATTTTGACTCTAATAAAGAGGTTCCTTCCCTCTTTTTGCTTTAATGGTGGCCAGGTGAATAAAATAAAATAATAAAATGTAAGACAATGATCTACTTATATAAGAATGTTTTCTTTCTTTCCTCAAAAGTGTTGCAAATACAGACTAAGCTAACTAATTAGTTAAACACATATTTAAAACTTAAGTAACTCGATATTAAAACGCAAAACTACAATTTTCTCCATATTTTTATAGGTTTTTAGTTACGACCCCCCATTTACAAAGATCCCCTTAAAGTACGTATAACAAATTATTAGGCATAAAATAAATAAAATATAAAATTAACGAATAGCATATATTTATATCTTTTTAACTAACAACAATTTACAATAAAAAGAAATCAGGTTTTTTTATTTTATAAATCTTATAAATGCGTCATAACGTAATTCTAAAATAAAAAAGTAATGAAATTATGATATCATAATTACGAAGGAAAAAAACCAACAGAAACCACAATTACCAAAAATCGATTTACCTATTTATAGTAACCTATTTTGAAATTGCAGTTAAAGATTTATCGAAAATGTAACTATAAAACCTGTTTCGAAGTACTAAAGCATTGACAATACCAAAAAAAAAAAATCAAACTTAGATATAAATTGTTGTTTTGGCTTTTATAATTTAAACATATATATAACTATAAACAAATATGACTTTTTGTAACACGTATAAACACGTTTTACAACTATTGAATGATAGATATATTTACCAAAAACTATGAAAAAAAAATAATGATAAATAAAGTTATACATATAAAATGTGCTGACAACCTTTAATAGTAAATTTTCGAAATGAAAATCTAAAGACTATAAATCAAGAACTTTAAAAAATATAACAATATTTATGATACATTTTTTTACCTACTATACCTTGAATAAGATGTTAATCAATTTTGAAAAACAAACTATTAAATGCTATAGTTCTTGAAAATGCAGCATATAGTTGACCATGAGAGAAACACGGTTTTTGAGATATTTCTTTTGTCTATGTTTAATTTCGCGTTAAGTAATATATAGACAATCCCTAAGAGAAAGTACTTGAAACTAAAAAGATTTTCTTTATTACAATATTTGAACAACCAAGGGACAATTTAAAGAATTATATCTTTAAATAGCAAATTATCAATTGCAGTATTAAAAAATACGCAAGAGCTTAGTAATTACAGAGTTTAATCAGAGCTCAGTAATTATAGAGTTTAATCAATTCTCTCTCTACAATTCTCAATACTAATTCATATTTAAGTCTCATCTAAGAGAGAGAGGAAGTGTTTTAAAAACACCATGTTAGAAAAAGTAAAAAAGTCATGGAATAAATAACAGTAACTGGTTTTATTATGCTACCAATAAACAAAATTATTTTTACCTTAACTAAAATCAAATCAAATCAAATCAAATCAAATATATTCTGAATAAAGTTGTTACATCAAGGATATTTACAAATAGTAATTTGTACTAATATAAAGTAAACACCTGTCAAAATAAATAAAAATAAGATGGAGATAGTAATAATAATAATTATAATACAAGTAGGAATAATAAAAGTAATAGTAGTGATTATAGTGATAAAAAAAATAAAAGTAGCTATTATAAAAAGAATATACTATAATAATAATAATAATAATAATAATAATAATAATGATAATAATAATAATAATAATAATAATAATAATAATAATAATAGCAATAATAATAGCAATAATAACAACAAAAATAATAACAACAACAATAATAACAATTACAATAATACTCATTATGATATAAATTATGATATAAAATATAGTAATAATAACAACAACAGTGATAAGGAATACTATAGAAACATATCAGTTTATAATAATAAATTTAATAATTGGTATTAAAATTAGTAATATATCACGATGGAAATGAGAAAAATTAAAAGATGAATAGAAGCACTGCGTTATAAATAATAAGTTGTAAAAAGGTATAAGATTTATAAAGAGTATT